TTTCTCGCCTAACAAAGATAATGTGACAAGAAAGGGCATATAAATATATATCATACTTCCGCAACTAGGGTATCTATTATCTCATTGATCTGAAAAATTCATGATTTCTTCGATCAAAGTACTTTGTCTGGAGTTTTAGGGGTTTTTTTTTTAACTCCAAAATACGACTTTGCCATTCGAGTAAAATACACTCACTATTAATCCCTTAGAAAGCCACGAACAACAATGGTGGAGTCGGGCCGCACCACAGACAAACGCTGGAGCAAGGAGGAGACTTGATGTTGATCTTACCAGCTTTGCAATATTACCCTCTCACAGTTTCCACTCCCTCACGTATAAAACAGTACTCAGAATAAGCCATCAGAGGGGAATAAAATCTTAAGATTTTATCTCCAAGTAGAACCAGGACACCAAGCAGCTCAACATATGAAAAACGTATATACTCTCTCTATATATAAATATATTTAGATATAGATATGAAAGTTTCTATTAGCACTTGTGGGTCACTGGTGTTGGGACTAATTTCTCTTGACTACTTGCTGCTCTGACCTCTCTGAAAGAGACTGATGACATGGAGGCAGCAATTTTCGACATCGTTATTCTTAGCAAGGCTTTGCATTTTATTCTTCTTCTTAAGTGTAGGCATATTTGGATTTTGCTTCTGGGAAAAACGTAGGACATCATGGCAGACGAAGACTTGTTTTAAAAAAACTGATAAACTGTAAAAATAATTTTTTATGAGAGAACTGTGGGAGCAATGAGAATTTTAGATAATCCCACAGAGGAAAAAGCCGTTCCTGGGTGAGCTGATAATCACTGGGTGTTTTGGTCCGTAGAGGCCTTCGCCAATTCTTGGTGTGAGCTGAGATTAAGATTTAGATCAAGTGGAGGAACTCTATTTGAGGAAAGAGAAACTAGTAGAGATTTTCATGATCTTCTGGGGTTGTCATGACAGTTCGAAAGCAAAAGGAATCCCAAACACAAGACTGATTTTTCCCAAGAAATATTTGCTGAGTTCCTGGGAGGTGTGAGAGGTTTAAGATCTGGGTCTGAAATTTCAAAAATGCAGAATGAATCTCCAATTCATGTAGTGTTTCAGAAACAAAGTTCCCACTGAACACTAGTGTTCAGAAACAAAGAAAGGGATCTGTAACAAACACATAACTAGCCTCCCCTCAAGAAATGTGCCAGAATTTAAGATGCATGGGCTGTAGCCTAGTGGGCTAAGCTCAAAATCTCCGAAGGGAAGTCTCAAAGCTAAGAAGACAGAGACCAGCTTTCCAATCAAAAGTCTAGAAAAACCATGCCAATGGAAAAAGGACACCAAAGGTAGGCTGAGTTTTATTAAGATGTCAACCTAGCTATTACCTAGCTAAATCTCTGCCTAGACAGAGATGACTAGCTCTTATCTGCTAAACAGAGGGGGCATCCTCACCGATGGAAGATAAAATCTAGAACCCTATAATTCTTGTTATAAACAATATTAGTATTGCAATAAAAAATTACCAGACATGAAGAGGCAGAAAAATGTGATCAATAATCACAAGAAGAGAAATCGATCCAGAAATATTGGTTAGCAGATAGAAATTTTAAAATAACTAAGACAAATATGTTAAAGAATATGTGAAGGAAGAGTGAAAAAATGGGGAAAAGGAGTTAAAAGATGGAAATTTAGAATCTATATAAAAAAATCATGGGGATATTCTAGAACTGAAAAATGTATCTGAGATTATCAACTCTCTGGATGGGTTTATCAGCAGACGAGCCACGCAAGAGGATTAGTAAACTCCAAAACAATCAAAAGCAAATATCCAATCTGAAGCACAGAGGAAAACAGGAATGGAAAGAACAAAACAATGTATAAGAGACATGTGGAACATGATCAAAAGATTTAATATACGTTTAATTGGAGTGGAAGAAGGAGAGAAGAGACAGAATGGGGCAGAAGGAATATCTGAAGAGATAATAGCTCAGCAATCTCCTCAAATTAACAAAGATATCAACCTGCGACAAAGCTCAGTGAACCCCAAACCGGATGATTACAAGGAAAATCATATCTAGACACATGTCAATTAAACTGCTGAAAGGAAAACCAACAATAAAAATCTTAAAAGTGGCCAGAGAAAAGGCACATTAATTTCAAAGCAACAATAAGACAAAAAACTGACCTTCAACAGAAATTATGGATGCAAGAGTCAATGGAATGACTTTTTTTTTCTTTTTTTTTTTTGAGGAAGATTAGCCCTCAGCTAACATCTGCTGCCAATCCTCCTCTTTTTGCTGAGAAAGACTGGCCCTGAGCTAACATCCATGCCCATCTTCCTCTACTTTATATGTGGGGTGCCTACCACAGCATGGCTTGCCAAGCAGTGCCATGCCCACACCTGGGATCTGAACCAGCAAACCCCAGGCTATGAAGTGGAATGTGCGAACTTAACCGCTGTGCCACCAGGCCAGCCCCTGGAATGACATTTTTAAAGTGATGAAAGGAAACAAAACTAGCCAAGCTATAATTCTACACCCAGCGAAAAAAGCCATCCAAAAAAATTTTAAAAATCAAAATAAGGATATTTTCAGATACACAAAAGCTGAAAGAATTCTTTTCCAGATTTTCACTAAAGAAATACCAAAAGAAGTTCTTCAGACTAAAAGAAAATGATCCCAGATGAAAGGATAAAACTTTAGGAAGAAATGAAGGGTGCCCAAAGTGACAAATATATCATAAATATAAAAATATGCTGATGCTTCCACTCATGAAAATAATAGTCTTACAAGATAATGTGTAGAGGTAAAAATACATGCTAAAGATAGAGAAAAAGAAAAAAAAAAGCCAGAAGAAGAAATAAATGGACTTAAACCAATGTAAGATTGTTGCACTGTTTGGGAAATGGTGAAAGTACCAGCTGTAAGGTAAACTGTAATAAGTTGGTGATGTCTATTAAAATCTAACGTAACTAATGAAAAAAAGAATATATAAGTAAAAAGTTAATGGAGAAGAAAAAATGGAATGAAAAACACTTGATTAATCCAAAAGAAGTCAGGAAAAGAAGAAAGGAACAAAGAATATGTGGGGCAAATAGAAAAACAAACAGCAAAATGGCAAAATCAAACTCTAATATAGCAGTAATTGCATTAAATGTAATCAGACTAAGCATTCCACCTAAAAGGCAGAGGCTATCAGACCGGATTAAAAATAAAACCAATGAACCAATTATATGCTATGTGTAAGAGACATCGTTTAAATATAAGGTTTAAGTATAAGGACAATTTATAAACATAAATTGAAAGTAAAAGGATGAAAAATGATAATCACACAAACACTAACCTACGAAACCTGGAGCTTTTTTTCGAAAGGGACTCCTTTTGGTGGCTATCCTCTGCCTTAAGATTATTGATTTTTATATTTTTAACAGAGTATAATTGTTACCTGGGGGAGGTTTAGTCTGATACAATTTCCTCTGTCATTACTGGAAGCAGAACTCCTACTTAATTCATTTAACTAACCTTCTTATTTTTTTAAATATATTTTTAAGATATTTACATTAAGTTCAAAAGTAATTTTGTAATTTTTCATTCTCGTATTATTCTTCCTGGGTTTTAGTATCAAGGTTATACTGGTCTCATTAAATGAGTTGAGAAATACACCTTCTTTTACTTTCTTTAAGGATATCTTGTATAAAAATTGAGTATTTCTTCTTTAAATATGTAGCAGAATTAGCCATTAAAGCCAAATAGACTTGGAATTTCTTTAGTTGAAAGCTTTTTTTTTTTAGGATTGGCACCTGAGCTAACAACTGCTGCCAATTTTCTTCTTTTTTTTTCTCCTCAAATCCCCCAAGTACATAGTTGTATATTTTAGTTGTGGGTCCTTATAGTTGTGGTATGTGGGATGCTGCCTCAACATGGCCTAACGAGCAGTGCCATGTCCGCACCCAGGATCCGAACCAGCGAAGCCCTGGGCCGCCGAAGCGGAGCACGCGAACCCAACCACTTGGCCACGGGGCCGGCCCAGAAGGCTTTTAATTATGTATTCAATTTCTCTAATGTTATAGGATTATTCCATTTTCTTTTTCTTCTTGTATCTTTTCTAAAAGTTGTATTTTCTAGGAATTGTTCATTTCTCCTAAATTTAAGTTTATTGACATAATTGATGACAATATCCTTTTCTTATTATCTGTAGGATGTTATGCTGTAATGGAACACCTATTTTTCAAATGATAAGGCACAAGCTTTTTGACTCTTCTTTCCAGCCTCAGAAACTCATTCTGCCTTCTTATTGAAAATCACAATCATAGAAACAGCAACAACTTCAAATAGGCCTGTAGGTGCAGTAACTTATATTCTAAAATTATCTAAGAAAGATGGCTGTCTGGAATTAAAGCTCTCTAAGCTTGGAATCACTACTTCTTTCTTTGGTAGTTTGCTTTATTTCAAGTTCATTCATTCATTAAACAAAGTTGCAGATAGACGGATAAAAGAGTCCTTGCTCTCAAGAAATTTACTGTCTGAAAGAGAAGCCATTCCAGTAAGAAGCAAACACAATCCCATGAGATAAATTCTACTCTGCATGATACAGACGGGTATAAGATGCTACGGAAGGAGAGAGGAGGGGTACTCTTACTTTTCTTTTAGGACTGAGTTTCATGTGTTGGCAATAATGGTGGAGTGGTAGGAGTTGAGGGAGGCAGAGAAAACATCCTGAACTGATTAGACATTAAGGAGTCTGGATAGCGTGTATGATGGGGTAGCACTGACAGCCTTTAAATTATCTGATCTACATTTCAGAAAGTTAGAAATGAGGAACAATTTTCAAAAATTTAGAATTATCTAAAAGAAACATTATAATCCTACCTATTAACAAAATGAAAACCTATTAACTGTGGAAGTTTAAAAACTAAAAGTTAAAGGCTTGAGATGAGAAGCTGCCTGCAATTTCTCCTGAATAAATAACAGAGATTAAGGAGAAAAGGAGTACAACCAAACATTTCAGGTTTACATACCTATAGCAAGATGCTCCATAGGGACATTCAGGCCGGTCATCTGCCTCATCTTGACACATGACTTGTACACCTCCATAATCACTATCACCAGGGTGACTGAAGTGTTGAAAATGGACAGGATTCTTCCTATGAGGGTGACAAACATACTTTAGAAAAAATAATTAATAGGGTATAATAGATTTCTAGATATACTAGAAAAAATAATTAATAGGATATGGCAGGAAACTAAGCAATACAAATCTGATTACTCAGGAAAGTGAACCAATATTCTACATTGTTAAAAACAAAGCTCATGACATGTAGTCAGTAGAGAACTCTCATGGTAACAAAATAAAGTTTTGGTGACATATGGTATGTCATGAATGTCAATGGACAATTTGAAAACAGTATTTTATATTGGATATATATATATTATAAGTATACACAGCTTTTAAAGACTTTTAATAAAGTGAACACACCTATGCACCCTCCCCTAAGATAAGAAACAGAACATTATTGAGATTCTAGAATTCGCAGAAGGTCCCCCTCCAATCATTAAACCCATTTTACTAATGGGTTTAATGTCACCTAAAACAATGTTTCTCAAACTTTTCGGTCTCAAGAAAAATTAGTAAAACTTCAAAGACCTTTTGTTTATGTGCGTGTTTTGGGGTTTTTTTTAAGGAAGATTAGCCCTCAGCTAACATCTGCTGCCAATCCTCCTCTTTTTGCTGAGGAAGACTGGCCCTGAGCCAACATCTGTGCCCATCTTCCTCTACTTTATATGTGGGATGCCTGCCACAGCATGGCTTGACAAGCGGTACATAGGTCTGCACCCAGGACCCGAACTGGCGAACCCCGGGCCCCTGAAGCAAAGTGTGCGAATTAACCGTTGCACCAATGGGCTGGCCCCCATGTGGGTTTTTTAACCTGTTAGAAATTAAAAATGAGAAATTTAAAAAATGTATTTATTTAAAAATAACAATAAACCCTTCCCATATTATCATAAACAACGTCTTAACATAACTCTATCTTCGAAAAACATTTGGGTAGACGTTGTTTTATACTTTGGAAATTTCTTTAATGTCTGGCTTTAACAGAGGGTATCTGGATTCTCGTATCTGCTTCTCCATTCAATCATTAACAATAACACAGATCATGTGGCCCATGGGAAACTCTACTGTACACTTGTGACTGAGCAAATGAGAGTGAAAAAGGTACACACACAAAAAAACCATATGAAAATGGTTTTGACCTAACAGATTTCCTAAAGCATCTTGGGACTGGAACACTCAGAGGTTTCTCTCTGGACCACACTTTGAGAAGCCATGTTATAAAACAACATAATAGTTTTGCCCTTTCTTGAATTGAAGTGAAAATATATAGTATGTACTTCTTTGAGAATTACTTTTTATGTTTGCACAATTACTCTATGTTGTTTCACATAGCAGTAGTATATTTTCATTACACTGTAACATTTCATTGTATGAAGCTGCTACTATTTATTTGTCCATCCTACTATTTATAGATTTTCGGGTTCATTCCAGTTATTGGCTTTTATAAGTAATAGTGCCATGAACACTCTACTTTTGGTGTACATGTATATGCATTTTTCTACAGATGTAGAAAACCCTAAAGATTCTACACACAAAAAAACTGTGAGAAGTAATAAACTAACTCAGCAAAGTTGGATACAAAATTAACATGCAAAAACTGGTTGTGTTTCTACATACTCATCATGAACAATCCCAAAAGGAAACTAAGAAAAAAATTCCATATATAATAACATTAAAAAAATAAAATATTTAGGATTAAACTTAATCAAAGAGGTGAAAGACTTATACGATGGTTTAATTTCTATTAAAGAAGACACAAATAAATGGAAATAAATCCCATGGAATGGAATGGAAGACTTAATATTGTTAAGATGTCAATACTGCCCAAAGCAGTCTACAGATTTAATGCAATCTCTATCAAAATCCCAATGGCGTTTTTTGCAGAAATGGAAAAATCCATCCTAAAATTCATATGGAATCTCAAGTGACCCCGAATAGCCAAAATAGTCTTAAAAAAGAACAAATTTGGAGGTCTCACATTTCCTGACTTCAGAACTTATTACAAAACTACAGTTATCAAAACAGTGTGGTACTGGCGTAAAGACAGGTGTATAGACAAATGGAAGAGAATAGAGAGCCTAGAAATAACTTCTCGCGTGTATGGTCAAATGATTTTCAGCAACAGTGCCAAGACCATTCAATGGGTAAAAGGACAGTTTTTTCAACAAATGGTGCTGGGAAAACTGGACATTCACATGCAAAAGAATGAAATTGGACATTTCCCTTACACTATATATAAAATTAATTCAAATGGATTAAAGACCTAAATGTAAGACCAAAATTTTAAAACTCTTAGAAGAAAACAGGAGGAAAGCTTCGTGACATTGGATTTGGCAAAGATTTCTTTCCAAATGCAAAGGCAATAAAAATAAAAATAGACAAATTGGACTACACAAGAATTAAAAAATACCTGTGCATCTAAGGATACAATTAACAGTGAAAAGGAAACCTATAGAAGGGGAAAAATATTTGCAAGTCATGTATCTAATAAGAGGTTAATATCTAGAATATATAAAAAACTCCTCCAACTCAATGACCAAAAAGCAAATAACCGGGGGCCTGCCTAGTGGCACAGCTGCTAAGTTGGCACGTTCTGCTTCAGCGGCCCGGGGTTCGCCTGTTCGCATCCTGGGTGCAGACGTATGCACCACTTGTCAAGCCATGCTCTGGCAGGCATCCCACATATAAAGCAGAGGAAGATGGGCATGCATATTAGCTCAGGGCCAGTCTTCCTCAGCAAAAACAGGAGGATTGGTGGCAGATCTTAGCTCAGGGATAACCTTTCTCAAAAAAAAAAAAAACAACAACAAATAACCTGATTCAAGAATGGGCAAAGGACTTGAATAGACATTTCTCCAAAGAAGATATACAAATGGCCAACAATCATATGAAAAGAAGCTTGACGTCACAAATCATTAGGGAAATGCAAATCAAAAACACAATGATATATTATACCTCACACCCATTAGGATGGCTACCACCAAGAAAACCCAGAAAATAACAAGTGTTGGTGAGGATGTGGAGAAACTGGAACCTTGTACATGTTGGCAGGAACATAAAATGGTACAGCTGCTATGGAAAACAGTATGGTAGTTGCTCAAAAAATTAAAAATAGAATTACCATATGATCCAGCAATTCTACTTCTATATATATATCCAAAAGAATTGAAAGCAAGATCTCAGTTATTTGCACATCCATGTTCATAGCATTATTCACAACAGCCAAGAGATGGAAGCAACCCAAGTGTCCACTGACAGATGAGTGGATAAACAAAACGTAGTATATACACACAATGGAATATTATTCAGCCTTAAAAAGAAAGGAAATTCGGACACATGCTAAAACATGAGTGAATCTTTAGGACATTACGCTAAGTGAAATAAACCAGTCACAAAACAACAAATCCTGTATAATTCCCCTTATATAACGTATCTAGAGTAGTTAAATTTTACCTGCTTTAATCCCCAACCACTTTTATGCTATTTTCATATATTTTAATTTCACATATATTTTATACAACACAGAAATTATTACTACTTTATATAGTCAATATTCACTTATATTTATGCTTATATTTTCCCTTCTGATTGTCTATGCTTCCATATGGGGACCCTCCGGCTTGGCAAATACTGAACTCCATGTTTGTTGCCTAAGCCCCATGAGACTGCCCAAAACTCTGCTTGGCCTCTTAGCCCTCAGCCTGAAACACTAAAAAATTGGCAAATGTCACAAGGGGAAAAGCCTCAAAGTCCTGGCTGCCTCGGGTGTTTTCAAACATGAGTGTTCAGCTTGCCTAGCTGTTCTCACTGTGAAGTTTGGTCTTCAACAAGATACTCCATCTTTACCAGAGGTGAAAACTTTATTTTATATACTATTAACTCTTAGATAATTTATATAACCTTATATAGATAAAAACTACAAGTTTGAATTAAAGTATAAATTCTTTGCATGCTAGTAAGAGAAAGACATTGTAACTTCTGCCCAGTTTTTAAAATTAGTTTACTAATGGAACTATACATGCTAATACACAGAAAAACTATATGACCTCAAAAGAGTAAAATTTTCAAAAAGAACTTTTTGGAAGTAACAGTTCCTGCAAACAAAGTTAAACGCTACTTTGCTGTAAGTTTGTTTCACAAAGGATTGAAATAAGATGCCATCGCTTTAGTGATGTTGAATTTGAAGCGCCTGTGGATACAGTGGTGGATAAACATCTGGATCTAAAATTCAGTGCAGAAATCTGTGCTGAAGATACAGATTTGGGAGTCAACAGCACGACATCAAGGGATTGAACAAGACTCCCCTTGACGAAGAATTTTCTATTGAGAGACAGAACACGTAAATACATAATTAGAAATCAATGATTAGATTTTAAATATTAGATCTAATATCAAATATCAGAAACTGTATGAGGAAAAAGTTGCAAGTAGGATGAGCAATTTGGGGAAGAAGGGGCATGTCAGAAAAGGACTCAGAAAGGAGCTGAACGTGAGCAGGGTCTTTAAGCAAGACAGGAGTGAGAAAGAGCGAACAGCAGGTCCAAAGGACATAGACAGCACGGCAGGAGCAGAGAATTAACGGGAGCTCAGGGCCGTCTGGACTACGCAAAGAAACCCGGACACTAATCACCAAACGATTCCGTACAAGAGAGTGATGTTGTCAGATGTTTTTTCTCTCTCTTTCTCTTTTTCTCTGTTTTTATTTTCTTAACCAGATCACTCAGGCAACAATGAGGAATATGAACTTGAGGGAAAATGTGGAGACTTAGGAGATTATTCACTCGGCCCAGAGAGACCACGGCATGAACCAAAGCAGTGGCAGTGAGGCCGGAGAAGAGATACATTTAAGTGATTGTTATGATGTACATATATAACAAGAACTCAAGATATGTTATTTTCTCCTCTTTGTTACAAAAATAAGCATTTTGTTTTCAAGATTCAGTGGTAAATATTTCTTAGGTATTAATTATACATACCAAAATTAGTAAAAAATTGAAATAACTATTCATAAGCTATGACTGATTAAAACTAACGTGTATCATCATCAAATATGAATGAATTCATTGTGACCTTGATAAAGCATTCAATCACCTTTAACAAAGACAAACGCCAGTGTTGAATACTGTTGTGGACTGAATTGCATCCTCCTCCAAATTCGTATGTTGCAGCCCTAACCCCTAATGTGACTGTCTTTGGAGACAGGGTCTTTAAAGAGATACTTAGATTAAATAAGGTCATAGGACGGGGCCTTAATCCAGTATGACTGGTTTCCTGGTAAAATGAGGAAGAAACACCAAGGATGTGCACGTGCAGAGAAAAGACCACATGAGGACACAATGAGAATGAGGCCTTCTGCAAGCCAAGGAGAGAGGGTTCAGGAGAAACCAAACCTGCCGACACTTGATCTTGGACGTCCAGTCTCCAGAACTGAGAGAACAAATCTCTGTGGTTTAAGCCACTCGGTCTGTGATATTTTGTCAGGGCAGCCCTAGTGAACTAACACAAATCCGAAACAGGATTTTTCAAAAATCCAAAATAATAGAAGGTTATATACTTCTATTCTACAAGTTTATACATTATGTTCCATATGTGAAACTAAGGGTATTGAAAACAGACAGAATTATGAATAAATGCATAAATTATAACTGCTGAAATTAAAAATTATGGTTAGTCAAGTGCTAAAATGGCAAAGCATTTTAAAGAGAGGTAATATAAATGTGAAATGAACGGAATATTCGATATAAAAATGCTACTGCATAGAAGACAATAAACTCTACTGGAATGTATTGGGAAGATATTTGATTTGACAAGTTGAAATGGAAAAGAAATACTTCTGAATTAGGCCTGTGTAATTATAAACATGCTAGTATAAACATTACAGCTAAAATTATAGCCTAAAAATAAGGGATTATAATTTAAATTCACAAAATAAGAAATCAGAAAATAGAGTACAATATAATAAAGAAGTACAGGAGTAACTCATCAATGCACAAAATATATATTCAGTTGTTTTATTTTTGTTTTTTTTAAAGATTTTGTAACAATTTTTCCTTTTCCTCCCCAAAGCCCCCCAGTACATAGTTGCCTATTTTTAGTTGTGGGTCCTTCTAGTTGTGGCACATGGGATGCTGCCTCAGGATGGCCTGATGAGCAGGGCCATGTCCGTTCCCAGGATCCGAAACGGCGAAACCCTGGGCCGCTGAAGCTGGAGTGCGTGAACTTAACCACTCGGCCAGGGGGCCGGCCCCTATTAGTTGTTTTAGAAGGCATCATGGTGATTCAAGAGCACCATTAGAAAAATATAAAGGAAAATGCACAAATATAATAAGATGCCTAAACACAACCTAAAATTCTCTTAATAGTTATACTGTATACAACAACTACTTATGATGGCCTCTTTCTAGTATCTAAATAACACACTAAATAAGCAGGTATTTAGGTCTGAGTGATTGAATTTTCAAGTCTGGATTCCCCAGTTCAGATCCTTGCATTAATCAGAATGTCTGCTTATGAAACACTTAACTCCCCACTGTATCCTAAAAGCCTCTAGCAGCATTTGCTAGAATGCATATTGAGAAAGTCCAAACCAGTAGATATAGGACAAAACTCCTAACCTTTAGGCCAATGGGTTTTATTAGGCTTCTCATACACTATAGCATATATCTACATGGCTACATGCTGTTGAAATAACGGAATTACATGCTACCTGTAATTTCATTTTACCTGTAGCAGTTTGCCCCATACATGCAGGATGTCCTCTTGACCTTGTTTTCTTCAGAAGCTTGTGGAACGGAATCAGTTGCCTTTGCACGTGAAGTTCCAGGATTGGAAGGATCAGAGCTGGACTCAGGGTGAGATCCTTGAGCCTCATCATGGAACGACTTGCCTTGGGCACTTGAACAACTCTCAGAACAACTCACTGCTTCGTCTTCTTTATTTGGTGTCCCTTCAGTGATGATGTTATGTTCAGAAACCTTACCAAGTTCCTCTATTGGGATTTTGTTTCTCTGTGTATCAGTCTTCATATCATTCACCTCCGCGTTACTTACTGTGATTGCAGAAAATGATCGTGGCATTCCCTGTAAGATATATCAGGAAAAAAAATTAGAAATAAATGGAACATGTTTTTAAAGAAATATGTAAATTTAAGCATAAAAGCATGAAACTCAAGATTCATACAATATGTATATTTTTAAAAATTTAACATTCACATATTAAAGTTATTACAATTACCATTTTCTATGTCTCTAGTTTAATAACTTTAAAACAATCTATAGTTATTAGAGAAGGAATGTATAGTTGTACCAAACCTTTATAATTATGTCAAACATTCAGTGAAAAACAACCACAAAAATACAAATAAAACAGATGAGAATACAATATTCACTTTCATTTGAATATAATCTTTCCTAAAAAACCTATTAGGCTCTTAAATTTCTTATTCAACGATGTGTCATGCTCTTAACATGCACTGTCCTTATAATTTCTTATAAGTTACTGCAATACTTTATTTCTACCTTCTAAATATAATCATGATTTTGCCCTATAGCTGAATGATAAAACTGCTCCTCCCTCACAGAAAAATTTGCATGAAGCTATGTTATGACCAACTCAGAAAATAAACATGATTCCTTTGAAGTGGTTTGAATAAAAGTTTTAGTTTAACCAATTAAAGGTGTTTCATACCAAGTAAACATTCCCATTAGCACTGCAGAACCTTTTTAATTTGTACTTACCACTAGCACAAAGAGTAAATCTAGTCTTATCTTATTAAAAATGGCTGCTTAATTACTTATACTTCCTGTGGAGTGGCAGCACTACTCAGATAAGCCTCAGTCTTCCTGGTAACCATTTCTAGAATGTGATGACAACATATCAGACATACATGAATGCCCCCCCACCATTTATAATTAAGGACTCATGTATGCTGAACGCCATCTGGACGAAGCTGGCTTTGAGATTACTGACTATCCAACAACTCCAATTTATTGAGAAGATATTATTAGTATGACTTCTTTTGGACTAATTACTTAAGTGTTTATTTTCTTCTTTAAGAAACACAGTATGTAACTTTAAAACACTATCCAAACTGACTAAAGACCTTGCAAAAGGAACCTGGGTCTTATCATGGTTCTTGTAAAATAATAAGTAACCTATGGGAAAAGCAATCATTTGGCTACCTCTTGGAGCTGACCCTTGGCAGGTGGCATTTATACCACACCCCTCTAAAACCCACACTCTCTTCTCCAACTATTCAACTATACCCCAATCTCATCTCCCTCTATTATAGGACCAACTGACACATGCCAGGGATTGGAACTCTGGCTTGGGAATGGGGCAATTCTGACCCATCTCCCACTTGACAGTCCTCTACCGGGTCAACTCTCAGCAGTTTTCTTTTTCCCTGTTCAGGTAGTAATGGGGTAGGTCAGCAAATCCACTGGCTAAGCAGATGTCCGATTAAATGCCAGTCGCTTGTTCCTATTGGCATCTCTAAACTCTGCAAGTAATTCTCTTAGAGTGCTTCCCTTCTCTTAATTTTAGAAAGGGAGAAAATAACTTTTCCCCACAAACACAGCTCTCCCTCAAATCTTAGAACCTTCTTGTCTCTCAGTGCTCTTTGCAGAAAGCCTGGGTGGGACAGTGAACACTTCTCATACCTTTCAGTAAGCCCCACAGGGAAACGTCCAGCTCTCACTGCTGGGGGCTCCTTTCAAACACGAGTACTTATCCTTAGTCCCCAGCTTTTGTCCCCAGCTTTGGGCTTCAGCAACAGTTTGGTGACAATAGGGAAAAAATCCTCCTCAACAGCTTTCATATTTATTATAGAAAAAAAAGGACACGGCTAGGGAAGTAGTTAAATAAATTAGAATACATTCTTACCATGAAATACCATGCAGAGGTTGAAAACAAAGAGGCAGGTATTTATATATCTAACGATTTTTAAAATTAAACAAGAACAATACATATATATATACTATGATTCCATTTAACTTTAAAATAAATTCCCTATATATCTATGTGTGTACTTACCTGTGTGAATCCAAATGAAAAGGTTTAGGATACAAATCAGAATATTAGGACAATGGAATTGAAGGGTGAAGCAAATCAAGATTTTCACTTTTTACTCCACATGCTTCTGAATATTCTATTTTTTGACAACAGCATATATTATTCTTTCATTAAAAAATGAAACATCAACCAAAGAAAATGAAATGAAATATAAGATACGAAATATTTTGCATCATATTTCAAATCCCACTACTTCCATGAAACGTAAAAGAAGGATTTGTTTTTTTAAACACCTTCACAAGGAAGATGTTTAACATGTTAATTTATTCTAAAAAGAGAAAGGAATGATAAAGTCACAGACACCAATACTATGGATCAGGAGTTCTCAAATATATTTTAAGAGTCATGGGGCCAGTCCCGTGGCCGAGCGGTTAAGTTCATGCACTCCAGTGGCAGCCGGGGGTTTCACGGGTTTGGATCCTGGGCACGGACCTAGCACCGCTCATCCAAGCCATGCTGAGGCAGCATCCCGCATGTCACAACTAGAAAGACCCACAACTAAAATATACAGCTATGTACCGGGGGGCTTTGGGGAGAAGAAGGAAAAATTTTTTTTAAAATCTTTAAATATATTTTAAGAGTCACAAAAGCTGGAATTCATAATGCTCTTCATGGAACTCCATGAAATATTGATATTCAGTAGACCCTTGGCATTCAAGAATTTAACATTCATGGTTTCAATTATTTATAAGTGATCCCAAAAACCCATTACATGCAGTAATTTGTACGTTTGCTGAGACATAAATTTGTACTGTGCCAATTACAAAGCTCATAAGCAAGTCAGTGAACTGGCAAGTGAGGCAACAGGAAAGACAGAAGATGCTCTGTACTTGGAAGAAGTAGAGGAAACACAGAGAGCTCCAGATTTTATAAGAACCCACATTGCTTATTTCTTAGATTAAATGAAAATGTTAAGAACAAAAGTGTGAGAGGCTAGAGATTCATGATAGAGAGGCCAGATCCCCTAAACTGTAGAAATACTTGCCAGAGACCTCAGGGATCAAGGAGCACGGAGCTGGTGAAAGGTGACCTTGGTGCTTGGAGGAGGCTGGAATGTACTATTAAGGCTATTAAAATAGTCCATTCCCTTGCCAAGAAGCCCTCCCTCATCCCGCAACCATATGAAGTTTTAACGTACTGTGAGGAGCAAGACAAACAACTCCCCCCAATACAAGTTCAATGACACGATTTATTGTCGTTGTTCCAAGCTGCCCTTAAAAAGAACATCTGTACTAATTAGTTGCCTTAAAAGTCCCGCATTGATCCCCTTAGCACCCACATGCTAAAGACTAAAACAATCCTAAACTCCAGCCCCAACTTCACTCTTGCATTTCAAACTCATATAATATTCAATCACTTGCTAGACATTTCTTCCTCAATAGCCTATGCACCTAAAACTCAAAACGTCGAAATTGAAATCCTCCCTCTGTATTCTGAACCACAGTTTTGGTCAACATAATTCACGCATTCATTCTAGCTGGAACCTTGGAAGTCCCTCTTCCACTCCTTTCTCTCATGATCTCAAGCAACAAGTCCTGCAGTTTTGATTTCTAAATATTTCTCTAACCCAACGCCCGCGCATCATCCTTAATGCTACTGCCCTGGGTCCGATTCTCTTTATTTCACGACTGCCTTAATATCCTAATCTCCTCCCTCATCCCCCTGTCTTTCATCTTGTTCTCTTCCAGTCTCTTCTCGGAAGAGCTGCCAGAGTTATCTATGTGGCTGAAAATATTTCAAGGTCCTCCCTTGAAGAACTAGTCCCTGCTGCTGGCTTCACCCTCATCTCATGCTGCCACCTGACTTCGCATCCAGAATTCGAAGAACAATAATTCCAGCGTACTATTTGTATCCCCCGGGCCCTTATAGCTGGGATGGACTCCTACTTCCACCTCTTCTGCACCTGGTTCACGCCTACTGCTCTTCTGTTAAGATGCAGCTCAGACCACTTCTTTTAGGAACTCTTCCCTAGGAATCCTCCAGCTGGCTTAGGTAGTCCACCTCAAAGCTCCCATAAAAATCAATGTGTTGTCACATTATTTTATGATTTTAATCATGTCCCCCAAAAGACTATTAGCTCCTTATCAACTATGTCTTTTCATCTTTTAATGCCAGATTCTAGCACACTGCCTTCCATATAAAAGAGAGACTGCTTAGTGTAATGATTATTAGAATGGTCTTTGAAGCAAAAAATCCTATTTGAATACCAGCTTTGCCATTTCTTAACCTTTGACCTTGAACAAGTTGATTTAAACTCTCAGAACCTCAGGTCTCCTGATCTGTAAACCAGGGATACTGTCAATCTACTTTCCAGGATTTTCTAAAAATTAAATGAAATAAATATATCTTAGCACTGGGTCTAGCCCAGAATAAGAGCTCACTAAATGGCTGTGTGTTTTTTTAGTTGTTGTTGGTAATAGCATTATTAATGCCACTATATTACTACTATTTGTTTAATACATGCTGTTGAATGAATGAATGAAAAGATGTTTCTATGGGACTGATCAGAGCCATGCTATAAAATGGTACTAACCCAAATGGCCAACCAGGAGCAAAGGGGATAAAACTTTTTGATGTAGTAAAGCAGCATAGAGGAGCTCTGGGGGATACAGCCTTACCTAAGAGACAGCTGTGCAAGTAAGAGTTCTTGCTATTTCCATGAAGAAATATGAGTAAGAGTCCATAGCAGGCATCTGTATGCAGAGCAATGAGATACTTAACAGCCAGTTTATTTGACCCAGCAATTATTACCATGGGGGAAGCTGCATATACAGGACAGAGCAGGCAGTGTAACAGGAAATGGCTCTCGATGCCAGGGCACCCCCTCCACATGCATACACTCTAAATGCAATGTCTGCAAGTTTGCTTTCTGATAATATGGATATAACAGAACTCTCTTTAGCCCTGATTTTTGTCTCCCCTGTGAGGCAGGCTTTCATCTCTGTCTATCAGACAGCTTTCATAGATATGCCACCATTGCCTCAAACCAAGCACATCTTCCTTCCTTCCCTAACTGCCATGCCTATCTCTTACCCTCTGCTCTGTTAAAGAGCATTTTCAATATCTCCTCCTCAATATTTTCTTAGTCATGAGGTTCTGATAATTCCATCTCCAAAAAATCTCTTACACTTGTCTGCCTCTTTCTGGTCCCACTGCCACCATTCCAGTTCAGGCCTTCATTCCCTGTGGCTTCCTGTGACAGCTTTTTAGGTGGCTCCTGCCTCCAGCTTATATCACTGCTAACCACATGAATCCCTCACTCAAAACCCTTCAAAAAGTCTCTGAAGCCATAAAATACAGTCCTAATTTCTTATTTACTCGGGCCAGCAAGCGTCATCCTGATTTGTTCAGTAGCTTGCTCCCCCCATCTCTCACGTCCATATCCAAACACGCCCACCCATGCACACATGCACAGGACACTCCAGTGTAGATGTACATTCATGGAGCGCACACACTTCCTGCCTCTGCCCACATTGCCCTTCACTGACAGTACTCTCCTCACCAACTCCGCCTGCTAACATGCCAGCCATCTTTCAACACAACTCAAAAACCTTCTTCAAAAGAAGTTAAATAAGCATTTTTCCCTCCCACCTTATGGTGTACCCCAATGTTCCCAACCATTCCAAACCTCCTCATTTATTAGGTTGATCTCAACCAACCTAAGAAACTACCAGTTATTTTCCTTCTCTTTGAATGTATCCAGATCTAATTATAAAATCCAAAAACTAATGCAATGCCTACTGTATTTCTTCCTAGACTGCTTTTCTCCATTCATCTGATAATGAGTGAACATATGGCCCAGAAAGGGGTAATGATACCATCTCACCTCCCTGACTACTGTGAATGGTCAAAGAGGAGATTCCATGACTCAACTCTCTAGAATTTAACACTGAAGAAGCCACAGAGAAACTCTTGTTTTTCCTCTTAATTGAAAAAACTGGATGACATGAGCCTGGAGCTACCTGTGACCATGTCATACACCATGTGAAGAAAGTCTGCTGATAGCAGTAAAGAATGATTCAGGAGGCAAAAATGGGAAAATCACAGAACAATCTGATTTTGATCAAGTCCCTGGTCCCAGCTGGTCCCTATGATCTGTAGTTCCTGCTGTTTTCCTTTCCATTCTAGAAACTGAATTATTCCTATATCTTTGTGTGGTAGATAGTTATCAAAGATGGCTGCCAACAAGCGCTCTCATCCCTTTATACACAAATCACTCCACCCATCAAATGGAGCCTAATCCCCTACCCCTGAATCTACGCTGATGTAGTAACTTGCTCTGACCAAAGAATGAAGCAGAAATGACAATGTACCAGGTCCAGTCCTAGGCCTTAAGAGACCAAGAAGCTTCTACTTTCATTCTCTTGAGATCCAGCTGTCAGGTAAAGACTCTCAGTCTAGACTCCTTAATGGTTAAGTGGAGAGAAGGAGGCCCACCCAGCCCCCCAGCCATTCCATCAATGCTTACTGAGGCTCGATTCATATGAATGAAGCTATCTTGGATGCTCCAGCCTCAGCTGAGCTCCCAGCTGAATGCAGCCCAGCTGACACCCAAAAGCTGTCATAAAATTGCCTAGCTGAATGCAGTCAACCCATAGAATTATAATAATAAGTCATTGTTGTGTTAAGCCACTAAATATTGGAGTAGCTTGTTTCCCAGCAATAGACAGTTGATACGCTTTACAATACGACTTTGCTTAAGTTGTTTCAGTTAGGCTTCCTTCTGTCATTTACAACAGAATCCTAATTAGATTTTGTAAAGAACATACCATCCTTTACTTTAAAGTTAATAAATTCAAGCACCCTCACTTTCACTTCCAAATTGGGCATTACATAACTGGTAAGGAGTTGCAGATGGACGTAAGAGAGCTGATGAAAAACACAGGCTATTTCAGAGCAATTATCTTCATGATCAGAAGTTACTAGAGTCACAAAAACTTTGGAGGCAGTCTAATACGTACGGTAGAAAAATACATTGTACCCAAAACGAAAAGACCTGTGTTTGAGACCCGAGATCCCTAGCTGTGTGACCTTTGGCATCAGTTTCCTCTGAGGTATTAAATGATGTACATCATTAGCTCTCAACTTCGAATGCACATTAAAATTGAGAGAATTTACTCAAAATAATACTGATGCACAAGCCTCACAGACCTGCTGAATCAGAATCTTAGGAATAGGGCCCAGTAGGAGTGATTTCTGCTCCTACCCTCCACTTCCTTTCTTAACTCTCCCCCAAAAAAATGGAATTGACTTTTTCCAAGTAAAATGACCACGTCTACTCTGCAGTCCTGGCCAAACTGTTTTCGTTCTTTGTAATTGGCAATCTCCTGCCATTAGACTAACCAGGTAGGCCCAGCCTCTTGTTTTCTCTCACTTTGAACTTCCCCTCTCACCTGCTCTGCTTGTAGACGTCTCTTCAGGACTAGCTGCTAACCAGTGTCAAGACTGAAACTGGGTGGGGTTTGGAAAAGCCTTGCTTGGGGTCTTCGGTCTAAGTCTTCTCTGGCCCATCTTTACCAGAAAACGCTCATAAAGGGTTATGAAACGGCTATGAAGCCTTGAGCCCTGTTTCTCCTGTGCTATGAGAGGCGAATCTCCCTCAGAAACCCTAAGGGAAGGAAGAGCAATTGGCCAAGCCGAGCTCAGGCATTCCTGGGACCTGGCTGAACACTCCCTGATGTCATCAAAATCTCGCAAATACCTTGAATATCTTGGATCTCCTCTCTACAATCTATTAATTAAGAAGGTGTTTCTTAAAGTCTTACTTGTGATTATCAAACTTTATGGCTTAGGATAAATGTAGTAAAGCATGTATACTACAGATTTTCCTCTGAAAAAAATAATTTCTCTTCTTGGCCAAAAAAGGCAGCCACACTGATACGTTCAGAGAACAGAGAAAAGTTTATATAAAACAAGTTTTATCTTATTAAGTTTTTATGGCCAATATATGTGTCAGAAAACACTTTCTTTTCATTTATTAAACTTGATTCCATAAGTAAGCAAAGGAGTTGAGCCTACCGTGATCAAGTCCCCACTTCTCTAGCTGGAAGAAAGGATCCAGTGCGAAGCTGGGTCTTCCCTAATGGGAGAGGAGGTAGGAGTGAGGGAAGTACTATAAAAGGCCTGACCCTCTGGGATAGCTATTGGCAGTTCAATCACTCCAGCGCACACTATTCTAACACCAACTCTACTCCTTTCGCTCTCACTGAGACTAAAAAATGGGGGCCCACAGAGCTCAGCCATAGGTCTGCAAGGATCACGAAAACTTTCATCTAAAGCCACCCCTCTTTTGAGAGAAAGAATACGTGGCCTTTCTGCCCTGGGACCATCTCTATCATTTTTCTTCTCTCTTTTTAAATGCATCCAATAAATATGCCTCATCTTCTTTAAGTACCCAGTGTTAAAGGATGTTTAAGTCAGCCAAACCATTCTAGTGAGCCAGCAAAAACTGAAAGAGGTAAGAGGTTTATAAATACTCTAAGTTAGCCCAGAAGTAATCCTGCAACAGGCTATTAAGAACTACCCCATCAATTGTTATTCTCTTCATACTTCTCAAGAAAAAGGTGGTTACATGCAGTCTGAGAATGAAAAACCAGGTTTTCAGAATGAATGTACCAAATTATGACTAGAGTCAAGTGGTCTTCACTTTTTTCCAGTCTGAAAATTTCTGAATTAAAAGTTGTGTTTTCTACAATGCAAGTGCTTTATTAAATATCAGTTTCAGTAAGTCAAAAAAAATCTGGGTTAGTTTTTATCTTCATAAACACAATAATGAAAAGCAGTTTTGATTTTTCCTTGCTGTATACAGCATATAATTAATTCTTATCAAGAACACTTGGTGAAGAAAACAATCAAATAATGAATTTTTTTAAAAGTCACCTTGGATGAAATGACAGACTCTTCCTGATCAACATTTTTGCACTTTTTTCCTGTGTCGTGCTCTGCTGATGTACTTTCTGAGCTTCCTGATGAAATTAATCGCTTTTTTCCTTGCTGTGTTATGTTAACTTGGGTTTTATCTTTGCAGATTCCTTCTTTTCCACTTCTCTGGGTTACAATATTATCTTAAACACACACACAAAGAAAAAGAACAAAATTATCTCTCATATCTTCAAGTGTCAGTAATCCATACCAAAAAGAAAGAAAAAGGATAGAAGTGCTAGTAAAATTAAAGTCCCATTTATATTAACGCCAACTTGAAAACACTTATTTGCAAATCTCAAAAAATATTACGCAGCACAATGGCCAAGAGCTCCAGGCCTGGAGACAGCCAGGCCAAGACACCAACGTGGGCAGCCTCCGTTCCTTAACTCTTCCACCTCACCTCTCTGAACTTTGGTTTCATCATCTGGAAAAAGGTATGCATAATAATAACTCATGGAGTTATCAGGAGGAGTAAATGAAGTAAGATATATAAACTATCTAGTAGACTACCTGATATATCTTAGCTATCTTTTTGTTTTTTATTTTAGCTTTGAATTTTTCTAAAATAAAATCTGACATGTAGCTATCCAATGATTTTACATATACTTATTGAGCCCCTAACATCCACAGTCAGAGATTCACTTTAAGTTATCTTAAATACAGATTGAGAACCCAAAATAACCCAAAAGGAAGAGTGATCTCTACAAACTTCACCAATGAAAAAAATGTCTCAGTAAAACGGACATTGTATCCCATATAATACTTACCGAAGGTTTAATATAGTTGGGAAACTTAAGTCAGTATCATAATTTGTTAACAAATTCATGAACTGTCTAATAAGAAAAGAAAATAGATTTACTAATTTTAAGAAGACAATCATCATGGTTAGTTGTCTGTCTCCTCTATACTCAAATGATAAATTCACGATATGCCTTGTTTATATGCCTTGTTCATTGGTCCCCCCTTGTGTCTCCAGTACCTAGAACTGTGCCTAGCACAAAACTGGTGCTCAATAAATATGTTTGACTGAGTGAACTGTGAACATAAACAGAACTTATCCCAAGATTCCCTTAGGAGCTTAGATAAAGGTACATAAGGCAATCAGTAATCCCTACTCTAAAGTTCTAAAGCAAGGGTTAGCAAAGTTTCCATAAAAAGCCAGAAAGTAAATATTTTAAGCTCTATGGGCCACATAGTATCTGTCACAACTACCCAGCTCTGCCTTTGTAGCATGAAGGCAGCCACAGACCATATATCCACGGATGAGCATGGCTGTGTTCCAATAAAACTTCATTTACAAAAACAGGCAGTGAGCTGGATTTGGCTCATGGGCTGTAGTTTGCTCAGAGCTGTTCTAAAGGACATACCGGCGGCCTGAAATAACACCCCTTCATTAAGTTCAAGAAACAAATGCTAATACAATACTGTCCCTACTATTAAACAGGAAAATCTATTGAACCAATATAAAAATAATGTATTTATCAAAGGAAACTTATGAATAAACTAATAACTAAACTTTGCCTAAATTATTTAAGTATTTGTTTTGAATCTAGATTAGGAAGCATTTTGCATCATTTTAGAAACTGTCAGAAACAGGACTAAATAGGACTGTATAGCTTGGTGAAGCAAATGACCAAAGGCTACAACAGTTATGAATTAGTCAGACGAAGCGAAATAATCAACTGCGGCATTGCTTACCACGAGAACTAAAACCCAAAACTATAAATTCAATAAGACAGGCTTCTGCCAAATGGGAGTTTACCACATGCCGTGTCACACATGTACACTAATTCTAAAATTAAAATTATATATATTTAAAATATTCAATCCTTCAAAATTCCAAATTCTCTACTACAATATTCCTTCTTTGGACCAAAGCTAATTCCTTTTTGTAGAGGAAGAAGCCATTTTGAAATTGTTGTTAAAATGCTCTTCACAAAAAAGTATATAAAACAAATGTTAATTAGCTCATAACAATCTTTATACCTGGCATATCAAATAATTTTCTAAATTCAGGATAGGTACAGTTAAATGATAAAAATATAAAAGAAATTAACTATTAAAACAAACTAGTTTATTTTTAACTATTACTAATTGCATTTACTTATATGAGCTCTTACACTAATATTATGGGAATGATGGCTCAACTGTATGCATGCATATGTGTCATTAAAATTATATCCATCCAATTTTATCATCCAAAGGAACCACTCCTAACAGTTATATTAGCAGTTTGATGCATATCCTTCTCAACTTTTTCCTAAGTTTAAGCAAATATATCTACAAATATGTATATGTAATCACACAAATGGTTAATAGTATAAATGTTATTATTTCTACGGGATAAATACCTAGAATTGGAATGTCTAGATCAAAGTGTGTTGTATATTTAAAAATTTAAGAGAAACCAGCCAATAAGTTTAAAAGGCTATACCAACTTCTACTTTCACCAACAATATTCGATAATTCTTACACCACTGGATATTACAATTATTATACTAGATATTATTAATACTTAGATTTTGATGAGTTTAATGAACAAAAAAATGGTACCTGGTTGTTTCAATTTACATTTTCCTATCTGACAGTAGTCATATATTTACTGGTTATTTGTATTTATTCTTCTGGGTATGTCATATACAATGCCCGAAATTTCTACTGAGTCTTACTTTCTTTTTTATCACTAAGTAGACAATTATTAAAAACCTTCCATCTACTTTATAAGTGTGACAAATATCTCCCAGTATATTGTTTGCCACTCTGTCATTTGCCTCTGACTTATAAGTCAGTCACGATAAGTCACTATAGTGTCTTTTGTATATTTTTTTCATTTTTAATCTAGATAGATCTGTCAATTGTCCATTATAGTTCTAGGCTTCCTGTCATTTTAAGAAAGCCTCCCAGAAGTAACAAAAATATTTTTCTCATATTTTCCTCAAATGCCTTAATAGTTTTAATTTTTACAATAAGATTACTAATTCAATAGAAATTTATTTACGAATATGGTACGAATTAGTGCTCTAATGTTATTTTTTTCTAAACAGAAAGCTAATTTTCCCAACATCATTCTTTTTTTTTGAGGAAGACTGGCCCTGAGCTAACATCTGTGCCCATCTTCCTCTATTTTATATGTGGGATGCCTCCACAGCATGGCTTGATAAGTGGTGCATAGGTCTGCACCTGAGATCCGAACCGGTGAACCCTGGGCCGCCAAAGTGGAGCACATCAACTTAACCACTACACCACCAGGCTGGCCCCACAACATCATTTTTAATAATGCATTCTTTCCCCATCAGTTTGAACTAATATTTTTATGTATTTATTTATTTATTCATTTATTTGGTGAGGAAGATTTGCCCTAAGCTAACATCTGCACCAATCTTCCTCTATTTTGTATGTGGGATGCCTCCACCGCATGGCTTATGAGTGGAGTAGGTCCACATCCGGGATCTGAACCCATGAACCCGGGTTTTGGAAGCAGAGTGTGAGGAACTTTAACCTCTTGGCCACAGGGCTGGCCCCTGAACTAATTTTTTATACATTAAATGTATGTTATTCTGATCTGTTTCTGGGTGTTTCATTCTTTTTTACTGGTCTAACTTACCTCTTCCCATGCTAGAACTATCAACTACTAAAAGTAGGCACCAGGCCAAGATTGTGATGTAGGAAAGTTCTACCAAGAAACAGATATTTCTGTTGTCTGTTCTTAAGCATATATTAAAAAACCTTCTAATTCATTTTATACAACGCTGACATAGCTCTAACACTAAAATCTGATGTAGATGGCACACATGGAGAAAAATACTAAGCACAATTATGAATATATATACAAATGCCCTAAAATAAATATTAGAAAATCTAACAGAGCATAAAAATAATAAGCTATCATGATAAAACTAAACTCATTTCAGGAACACTAGCATGGTACATATTAGAAAATCTACCAACATCATTAATTATATTAACACATAAAAATACAGGACTATTTCTATGTCAAAAAATTTTTCAGGGGCCAGCCCGTGGCCAAGTGGTTGAGTTCACGCACTCCGCTTCAGCAGCCTACGGTTTTGCCGGTTTGGATCCTGGGTGTGGACACGGCATCACTCATCAAGCCATGTTGAGGCGGCATCCCACATGCCACAACTAGAAGGACTCACAACTAAAAATATACAACTATGTATCAGGGGGGCTTTGAGGAGAAAAAGGAAAAATCAAAAAAAATCTTTAAAAAAAATTCTTTTTTAAAGAATTCAACAGTCATTCCTGAAAAAAATAAAACATCCTCAACATGATAAGAGTATCAGAATTGGATACCAATCATATTAAATGCTGAAATACTAATAGAATTCCCATTAAAATCAGTAACAAGACACAGATACCAATTTTATCCATTTTTACTGAAAATTTACAGGGCCTAGCTCATAAAATAAGACAAGAAAAAACTTTTAAAGCTGTAGATAGAAGTGCCAAAGTTATCATAATTCTGTAGATATGACTGTATAGCTAGAAAATCCAAGAGGCTAATAAAAATCTATTAATTAGATCATTTAGCAGCATTGTTGGAAATAAGTAAATATATAGAATAACTAATGCTTTAAGTAAATTTTTAACTATCATCAAATTAAACAATGTCAGCTCAATATTTATTATCTGCATTGAGTTGTCACACAGAAAATATTCAGAGTACAAAATTAAATGCAAACCAAATGGTTTCAGGACTACTTCCTACTTCAATCTTTATCGTATGTGCTACTTTTCATGATTCCATGTGGGAGGGTCAGAAGATGGGGAAAGAAGAGTACTGCAGAGTACCATGACACCAGTGAAAATATCAAAGCTCTTTCTTCAGTGTAGCAAGAGTGTCACACCTAGGAGTTATGACTTGTCCTGGGGCTTAGAGGATTTCGAGAACAGAGCTAAATGGAAGCCAAGAGAGGAGAGGCTCTGAGAGCCTTTGCCCAAATCCAAAATATATTGACTTCCCAATCACTAAGGGACATGGAGAAAATTTTAGTCCAGGCCTGAGAAACTCATGATGACATCCAAGGACTAGAACCTGGAGACCCAGAAAATAAAATAAACTAGAACATCACTGGTTCAAAAACAGAAAAGATTTAGCCTGATCACAGCAACTATTCGCGTACGTGTCAGGATTAAACCAAGAGTGAAACTGAGAAAAGATCCAGGAGAGAATGCAAGTGCATATTTAAAAAGAAAAAACAAAAGGAAAAAAACACCAAAAATAGAACATACCGAGAGTAAATTCCGGAGGCAATACAGTGATATGGATCAGAGCACGGGCTTTAGAGTCACACAGCGCTAGGTCTCGATTACAGCTCGGGTAGTCATTATGTGATCTTGAATAAGCCATTTAACATAATTAAAATTATTTGTCCTGTACCTAATGACACAGAAGCTTCCAAAATATCAAGATGGTTTCGGATAATCTAAATAAATATCAAAGAACACAGTACAGTACTAAAGCTGCAAAAGACATAAGAAAGTGTCTTCCATCTAAATGAACCTAAAATGCATCCTGGAAATTGATTTTTTAAAATCTCTAACATTAGTCTATTGACCTGGATGATTCATTACTTAAACAAACAAACAAAATAATAATAATAAAAAAACCTACACAGCAGAAAAAGTCTAATTATTTCAACCTTTAATAGCTGGATTCAAGTGCTGAACTGTCCTGTCCTATAATCCTAAATCTTTAAAGGAATTAAGTAACCTAACCCTCCTCTTACAAGTACTCTCTAAAAGTCTAAGTTTACAAGAAGAAATACCTGCATCCAAAGACTTTTCTCTCATTTTGAAGCTTTAGATTTTAAGTACACTGTGTACTATGTAATATGCCTGTCCAAACCAATGTCAAATTACTCTCCTTTGCATTTTCAAGGTGAAGTGCCCAAAAGGATGCTTCATATTTTATATGGTACATTTATCAAGTGGGAATTAATAGCTATTTATAATTTGAAGCAAAATATATTTTGGACTATTATACGCAATGTCATAGTGGTAGCACAGAAGCAGTTACAGCACAAAACAAGACAGTCCTGAAAGCAAATGGCTTGTCTGCAGGGAGGCAGGTCACATTGGTCCAATTTTTGGTCAAGGAGCTATTCTTTCTATATCAGAGAAATAGTTCTACCGAGGGAAACTGCCTGCCTTCCTCCACTACCATCTCCCAATCCCCATTTCCTTCCTGCAAATGGAGGATTAGCACACTTAAGGAGAAAAGCTACTGATAAAATACACTACACATGTATTGATGGGCTGGAGGGGACTGAAAACCACTGTGCTGGAATAAAACTCTTACTGGGAAATCTTAGGTTTAGATGCGAAAATTCTCCAGATCAAATCACATCTACCTCAACATACAATATATAACCTAGTTTTCTCACACGATCATTCTGATCCTACTATAATCCAAATTAGCATTAAATAAGGACTATTCTACACATAACATATTTGACCAAAAACTTCAGAAGATATCTGTGACCACTATGCTAAATATTAGAAACAGTAAGAGTAGTAATATTCAACTAAAATATATATTCAATTGTGCTGTAAATCTATAAAAGACAGTATTCAGCGCAAAATGGCAGAGTAGCTTCATTGAACTAATCATCTTAAACAAAACAATTATAAATTTGACAAAATATTAAAAAACGACTATTTGAAGGCACTGGAGAGTGACCAAAACTGGAGACCTCTGACCTTGAAAAATCAACTCCAACCTGTGAGGTTTGTGAATTTGCAGTTTTTTTCGGAGGGCATCCCCCAGTTCACAGGCGGCAGAAAGCTGCAGCCTTACCAGCTTAACTGGCCCGAGTACAGAGTCTGAGGCTTGTGGAACAGGATAAAATCCTGGAAGGAAGAAAGCCACAGAGAGCCACGAACCAAAATCTACATAAAATCAACCCCAATCTTTGGCTGACTACTAAACTACATGTGCATGGGGGAAATCCCTGGAACCCAGAGACAAAGCAGCAGCTGGAAGCTGAGAGAACTAGGCAGAGACTGCAGCTGCTGCCCATGACAGGGGAAACAGAATTTAGGGCCTGCATTAACGGCCTATTAGAAGGAAACTGACTTTTAGGCCAAATTAATTGCCTATTAGAACAAAAATATTTATTCAGAGGAACATAATATCAAAAGTCTCTAGAATACATCATTTATAACATCCAATATCCAATAGAAAGTCACCAACCAAGAGAATAAACAGGAAAATGTGACCCACAGAAAAGAAAAGAAGCAGTCAAAAGAAACTAAACCTGACACGACTGAAAAGTTGCAAAGAAAATGCTGACTAAGTAAGACAATGCAGAAAACATTTTAGCAATCTTGTATCAAGGAGAACATCCAACAAATGACATAAATCACTGTGATGTCTGCCACGTCAGGGAGCTGTGCTAGGACAGAGGTCACCTCTTCTTTGAATCTGTCAGCATATAACATTGTGTGCCTGACACTTTCTTATTTAATTAATTAGTTTAGAAAGCTCTTACTGCGCTGGCCTTTTATGTTAGACATGACACCAACAGGTTTGTTTGCAAATCTATATTAAGATGATAAGTCTGGCACATAAGATAAATAGCACTTTTTAAATCAAAGTAATTAGCAGGATGGTGTTTGATAAGTGGCTTGTTTTAAATTCAATTTCATGTACATATCTAAAAAAAATGTTAAGCTAAGTTATCCACTTTTACAACTACTACTCCATCTCCATTTGTTCAGGAAAACTTTCAAATTCTGCTTAAGGTTTTCTTGAAACAAAACCTACCTCCAGTGAGGACTGGTGCTGAAAGGTTTTGATCTCTTAGATCTTCTGTTAACATCCACGCGGGAAGGATTCTTTTCCTCTGGGCAGGGTTTGACTGCTGCTTACTGACGTCTCTACATTCACCTGGGAAAGACTAAAAAGGCACCTATATATTAATTACTAAAAATAACCATATGTCCTTAATGAAATCGTAAGATCATTTACTTTGCAGACAACTATCATTAAAAAATCTATCTGCAACTGTGGACTGAGTTAGTCATATTTCTCAAGGAATGAAATTCATTCTATTAGTTGAAGTAGTGGACTAGTGTGATATTCTCTAGAGCTTCACTTAAAAACATCAAGACTAGTAATATTGTCATGATATGTCTAATTTCAGTTGTCTTTTCTCTCCTCGAAATAAGGAAGATGCTTTAAATGGATGCGATCCTAAGTTTCTCACCACACTCTTCGCAGTAGCAGTCTGGGTCTTAGCTACTTCTGTGCTTCTTTCCAGCTGTGGGGCACCAGCTGTCTCATCAGGCAAATTAATTGAGGAAGATTTTGGTGTTTCATTCAATACATTATCTTCATCAAGCATTTGACTGTTTCTATAAAATAAAATAAAAATTCATTTATCATTTAAATTTAAAACACTTCCATTGCCTACCATGTCATGATAAATGAGATTCTCTCAAGTACATATAACTAATGAGTTATGCTCCTTTTCTCAGACTTAGCAGGACCAAAAAGCAGATTACAGTAGACTAGAATACATATACTAGACTATGTTCTTTATCTTCTGCCCACTGTATCACCATAAAATACATTAATCTTTCCAAACCATGTGGGCCTAGAAACCACAGCTATTTATGAGACGGGCGAAAGCCATCTCTCTCAAGTAAGAGCTATTTACTTATTTGGTATTTGTCCAGATAGTCCATAAAAGATCACCACTGAGCATCCAAAGAGAAACTGCAAACTGCAAGAACATCAGCTAAGCTACTTAAGCTTTCGAAGAAAAAAATAAATAAAATCGTGATGTCAAGTTCACACATAGCTGCTACTGGAGTTCTGGCCAGTACGTCTACTTGTGAAATCTCCCCAAATTTGTAGTTCCACTGGAAGCTAAATGTTCAGACACAGGAGCATCTGTGGTCAAAGTGGAACATACTAGCAGAACCAACTACCTCCCACTTGCTGCAGAGTGCAGTAAGGTCATCCAAAGTTGATGGTTCATTTTTCCTTATATGTGCAGAGAGATGATCCACCGAATTTATCTTTTGGAAAATTTGAAAATGCAGATGGAAATACTACTCAGAAATAAAAAGGAATCAACTAGTACTGATATATACAACAACATGAATGAATCTCAAAGGCATTTTGCTAAGTGAAAGAAGCCAGATACAAAAGGCTATATGTCATATGACTCCATTTATATGACATTTTGAAGAGGTAAAGCTACAGTGACAGAAATCAGATCAGTGGTTGCCAGGGGCTGGGGGTGGAGGGAGGGGACTGACTACAAAGAGGGATGAGGGCATTATTTAGAGAAAGGGAAATGCTCTAAATCTCACTGTGGTAGAACTTACACAACTACATACACTTGTCAAAGTGCGTTGAATTGTACATTTTAAAGGGTTGAATTCTACTGTATGTAAATTGTTCCTTAGTAAAAGTAAATTTTAAAATATCAAAGATATAAGACTTTAGAAGTGTGTCTAGCTGAGAGGACAGTAATTAATGGCCTGTTTTAATAGGAATAACCTCCTTCAGAGGTAGACTTGAATTCCAATGGCAGGAAAAAGCCAAAAGAGAACAACCTACTTAGACTAAATTATTGTGTAAGACCACAGTTCTTGTTTATTCAGTAAATATTTTTAAAATACCTACTGTGTGTCAGGTACTGTGCCAGGCACCGGAGACAAAAACTTGAAAATGTATGAATGTCCTATCTATGAAATCTCACTTTCACCCCAATATTCAATTCCATTTTACTCATAGGATACAGGCATACTTCCAAATTATGATTTTTCCTCAAATTTTCTTAATATTTAATTAGAAAAATATTAAGAAATATTCAAGAGTAATGTAATGGCTTTTCCTAATTTATAGTATTAGATTTTATAGTATTAGCAATTAAGTAACATCGTCTGTTCCATTTCTAGTTTATTTTCTATTGTGGCATAAATTCAAGACTAACACACACAGCCTATGGCCCACAGGGAATTTTTTGTTAATATTTACCAAGAATAAACATAACAACAAAAAAAATCCAATCCCAGAACAAAATTCTAATTAACATTTAGTTTTAAAGAAGCCAAAATACAAATTATTCTCACATCTTTATGTAAATATCAAACACTGTCACCGTGATGCAGATGTATTTTTTTAATCTGCAAATACTTCTAAGAGTAATTAACTACCACAGGAGTTATAATTCAGTGTTACCAGAATTTGTTAAATAAAAAAATAAAAACTTGGAAATTTACCTAAATACAGTATAATAAAGGTAACCGAGCTATCCTTTTTAAATAATAGCTTTATTGAGATATAATTCACATAACTATAGAATTCATCCTTTTCAAGTACACAATTGAGTGGGTCTTAATATATTTACAAAGTTGTGCAACCATCACCAATACCTAATTTTAGAACATATTCATCACCTCAAAAAGAAATCCTGTATGCACTGGCAGTCACTTCCCATTCCCTTTTCTTCCAGGCCCTGGCAACCACTAATCTCCCTTCTGTCTCTATGGATTTACATTTTCTGCACATTTCATGTAAATGAAACCAAACAAGCTTTTATGCAGACAGATGTTTTCAGTTCTTATATTCCAAGCAGTGGAACTGCTGACCCGCATGTAATTCTATGTTTGAGATTTTGAGGAACTGTCAGAGTATGTTCCAAAGAGGCTATACCATTTTACAACCCCACCAGAAATGTGTAAGTGTTCCAATTTATCCACATCGTTATCAATACTTGTTCTTATCTGCCTTTTTGATTATAATCATCCTACTGGATGAGAAGTGGTATCTTATTGTGGTTTTCATTTGCATTTCCCTAATGACTAATTATGTTGATTATCTTTCATGTGCTTATTGGCTATTTGGATATGTTTTTTAGAGAAATGTCTACTTAAATCCTTGCATTTTTTAATTGAGTTCTTTGTCTTTTTATTGCTGAATTGCAAGGATTCTTTATATATTCTGGATGTAAGTTCCTGATAAGACATACGATTTGCAGATATTTTCTCTCATTCTCTGTGTTGTCTTTTCACTTTCTTGATGGTGTTCTTAGAAGCAAAGAAGTTTTTAATTGTGATAAAGTCCCATTTATCTACTTTTTCTCTGTTTGCTTATGATTTTGATGTTTTATCTAAGAAACCATTTCCTTATCCAAGGTCACAGAGATTTACACCTGTGCTTTTTCCTAAGCATTTCATAGTTTTGGGGGGGGGGTGTTTTTGCTTTTTGGGTTTTTTTGCTGAGGAATATTAGCCCTGAGCTAACATCTGTGCCAATCTTCCTCCACTTTATATGTGGGTCACCACCACAGCATGGCTGACAGGTGGTATAGGTCCACTCCTGGGATATGAACCTGTGAAGCTGGGCCACCAAAGCAGAGTGCGCTGAACTTAACCACTATGCCACAGGGCCAGCCCCATTAACTCTATTTTTTCTATGGTGTGAGGTAGGAGTCTAACTACATTCTTTTGCACATGGATATCCAGTTGTCCCAGCACCATCTATCGAAAAGACTATTCTTTCTTCATTTAATTATCTTGGTACTCCTATCAAAAATCAATTGGCCATAACGCAAGGGCCCTCAGTTTCTGGACCCTCAATTCCATTCCACTGATCTACATGTCTTTCTTTATGTTAGTACTACACTGTCTTCATTACTGTAGCTTTAGAGCAGGTTTTAAAATTCGGAAGTATGAATCTCCAACTCCTTTGTTCTTTTTAAAGACTTTTTGGAATTAAGTTAATTCTTAAATCTTCAAAATATACTCCAAATAAATTTAAATATAAGCTATATATTTTGGATCTTTAACATAAAAAATGCTATAATATGAATGAGCTGGATCTAGAAAAAGTTTAAAAAATAACTACAAATGAATTATAAACATGCACATTGTCATAGTATAATGGCATTTTCATCAACATTTTATTGTTTTGTTCCAAATCAAAAAGTGATTAAAATTAGCTATTTATATGGAATCTAATTATTAAGAACTTTAACAATTTGAAAAAAAAATTTGGTATGACAAAAGATTTACTTTACTTTCCTCAACCGTGTCTTAAAGAAGACAATTTCCCTAGAGAGACAATGTTGTACTTCCTCATCAGCAACGAAATTCAGGTACAAAAACAAACTGTTATACAACATTTCATTCACGTATTCAAGAAACCAACACTTGCTAAGTACTCACTATTGGGAAGGCAATAAGGATGCAAAATTAATGTTGGTGCTTCTGATGAAATATGCCATAATTTAATTAACTAAAATGTAAAACCAAGTGTCGGTTTTTTTCAATTTGGTTTTCTTTTACTTTGACTTCTCAAAAAAGTACGTGTTTTTGGTACTTCTAGTAGAATAATTCCATAGAAACATATTTGGAAAAGAGTGAAAAATGAACCAACTAGCACCAATGTGTGTAGACCTGTACACTCCCATGGAGTCGGTTACGAATGAGATTTATTTTACAGAATCTAAATGCTATACGAAAAGCACGCTGACAGGAATAAAATGAAAACCTAAATAAATGACAAGCTTTTTTTACTGCTGCTTTGTTGCTCAAATCCCTTTCTTAAATTCACAACTAGTTGGAAGAAAAAATTTATAATGGCATCAAGATCCGGACAACTGCCACAAAACACACAAGTTTTCTTTTGTGTTATTTTTTAAATTTTAAAATATTTCAACATGTAGCAATGTATAGAGAATATAACATATGTATTCTATCTACTTATCTATGAAAATAAATACTTGTGTATCCACCACCCAAATAGAAACATTTTGTCAAACTTGCTCCAGATGAATTACAAACACAACCAAAGTGCCCTCTGTGCCCAGCCTGTCTTGTTCCTCTCCCTCCCACTCCTTCTTCAAAGGAAAACACTAGCCTGATTTTGATGTCTATTATTCACACGCATATCTTTATACTTTCACAATAGGATGTGTGCATCTACTCTTTGTGTGTGTGCGTATATATATATGTGAATATTGTACATACACAAAAAAGATATATTATACATATATGTCACATAACTACATAATATATATGTTATTCATGAAGTAATCCATAATATACATATACATTACATATATGTATGTCCATATACAAATAGTGTGTGCTTTATATATCTGTTACTTTTCTATTTGTTTTTTTTCTCAACATTATAGTGTGGAGATTTATCCATGTTTTATCCTGTAGTTCTCTCTAGTACATTCACTTTTACTCCATTATAGAACTACACCAAACTTACTTAGCCATTCTCCAAGTGTGTTCACTTCTAGAATGATTGCTATCGTAAGTTTTCTTGTACAACAGGGGTAGTCAGTAAGAGCTCTGGAACTAGGTAGCTTGGTTTGAATCCTAGCTCTGCCATGTATTAGCTGTGTGACTTTGGGCAAGTCTCAAACCTTCTGTGTCTCAGTTTCTTAATCTGTAACATAGGGATATTAACAGTATCTATCCTTTATAAAGATTGCTATGAAGATTAAAAAGTTTATACATATAAATCTTGTACACAATGTTGTTATGTGTTAGTGCAAAATGGAGCTAGTTCTAAAATATATGAAAATCCCATTGGTATCAAGAAATGTCTGAAATATATTTCAATACTTCCACAGTCTAAGATATGGTCCACTTCCCCTTGCTAAAGGATGGTAGCCTCTCCTTGTCTGGAGACTAGGCAGCTGCGTCCTATGGGTAGACACCTCTCTGATGATACTTGCCTTCCTTAAGACCTGCCCCCACTTCCCCTCATGGCTTCTATTCCAACAACCAGCGTCAACACATCATTACCTGACTAGAAAAGTACCATCCCTGCTTCAACAGGAAAGCAAATATTCACTAAAGAGCTACAGAACCTGGCTAACATGTCCTGATAGAAACCAGAAGAGTATGCCCAAGAATGGAACTTGAAGATGCCAGACGAGCGGATGCAGAATATAAGGCTAGATAAAGAACACTCTCCTGCAACCTAGGATTTAAGGTGCTGGAAGGACACCTAAAGCCAATCCTAATAAACACCTGAGATGGCTTGTTCATGCTTGGAAAAAATATGGCTTTTAGTAAATATGGTAGAAATAGCAGAGAGCCTTGGTAGAGTATTGAAAAAGGGGTCAATAGACTCAAAGAAGTAGGCATGCTAAAATGGATTTATTACATAAGACTAGAGAATCCACCAGTTGACTATGTTCCCCAGAAGGGTCCAGAACAATAGGCAATAAGGTATGCAAGAATGAGGCTGTGTTTGGGAGTTCAATGGCAGCTGCCTCTAGAAGTCAGTGTTGGTGGTAGGAGAGGCTGCCAAGGAACAGGGCTCCTTAGAATCAATGGAAATGACAGGATTCCAGAATTGTACAGACCAGGTGGCTACCTTTTAACCATCAGAGGCTAAGTGGATGTTATTTGCATAACAGACAGCAAAGTTGGAGTGGCACTGATCTGTAAGCTTCTGTAACAACGTTTGTCTATCTAGCTGGAGACTACATTTCCAGCCTTCATTGCAATTCAGTGTAGCCATATGTCTAATCTTTTTCAGTGGGATATAAATGGAAGTGATATGTACAAGACAGTTATCCTGGATTCTCTTCCTCATTTCCTTCCCACCAACTGGAAATACCAATGATGAAGCTAACTTGCAAGCTAAACATGAGGATGGCAGAGATATTCCATTAGCTGGAGCACTTGGATTACTTTACGAAGGAGAACACACCTACAACTCTGGACTATTATGACAGAGAGATAAATTCTGTCTTGGTCAAGCCCTGCATTTTGGGGTTGTTTTGTTAAGCAACTTAGCTTTTACTCTAATACAGGCATCAGCAAACTAAAATGCTTAAGTCCAAGTCCAACCTGCTACCTGTGTTCGTAAATAAAGCGTTACTGACACACGGCCATGTGCATCTGCTTACATACTCTCCACAGTTGCTTTTGCACTACGAGAGCAGATCTGAGTTATTATGACATAGATTCTATGGCCTACAAAGCCTAAAATAATTGCAATCTGGTCCTATACAGAGAAAGGCTGTCAACATATGTTCTAATACACAGCACCTTTTGAGAAAGTACTCAGTATTTTAGGTTTCATTTTTATTTTGTATGGTCAAATGTTAAATGTTTAGCCAATGAAACCAAAGACATCCCAAATAAATCTAAAATTGCCAAAATGCTTAAAAGAGTGAGCTATATGCTTTGAATTACAAATGGAATGATGCAAATGTGATAAATATCTTCAATTAAAAATAGCTATTATACTTAGACTGATCTTTAGGAAAATGGTTTCAGGCTGCTGATCTTTCAACTATTGTTACTTCATGAGCAATAAGGATCAAAGTAAAAAAAAAAAAACCGGAAAATGATTACTGCAAATCAGAAATTCAATGTATTATCACAGGAATATCTGAAAACTCCAAATTATAAACTGAAAAAGAGCTGAAAATAAAGTTAACACCCTAAAGGAAACTTTGCACTAGTAAGTCAAAAACAGAACATTTAATTTTTTAATATAAAATACAATTAATTCGGTTACCCTAAACTAGCATTCAATTACTGAATAAGATATATAAAATATTTATTACCTTTTTCAACACATTTAGCTTGAGAGCAACAATGCACCATAATACTACTCATAATAAAGAGCCTGAAAAAGTACAGTGCTGTTGAAGTGGGTTGTTTTTTCACTTTTATCAATACTAAAAAAATTCAAAATTCACTAATCCCACAATTTGATTTATTTAAGATACAATATTAGTCTTTCACACTAAAGGGATAAGCTAATTTGAATGGATACAAATAAAATTAAAGTTGACATATAATACTTTAAATAAGTTATCAGGCAATGACAATACTTTGTTTTATAGAAATGTACAACATTTCCCTGATTTTTGACAAAAAGCATATAATTCTGCTATGGAAATTTATTATAACAAAAAAATTGGTTCTTTATATTTCTTTTTTTTTTTTTTTTGAGGAAGATTAGCCCTGAGCTAACTACTGCCAATCCCTCTCTTTTCACTGAGGAAGACTGGCCCTGAGCTAACATCCATGCCCATCTTCCTCTATTTTATACATGGGATGCCTACCACAGCATGGCATGCCAAGTGGTGCCATGTCCACACCCAGAATCTGAACCAGGGATCCCCGGGCCGCCAGAAGCAGAATGTGTGCATTTAACTGCTGCGCCACCGGGCCGGCCCCTCATTATTCTTTTAAGGTATGTAAGATCAGTAGTGATATCTCCCCTTCCATTTCTGCTACTGATAATTTGTGTTTTTTCTTTTTTTCTTGATAAGCCTTAGTAAGTTTATCAATTTTATTAATCTTTTCAAAGAACCAACTTTTGGCTTTGTTGATTTTCTTTGTTGTCTATTTTCTATTTCACTGATTTCTAGTCTTAGTCTTCTTATTTCCTTTTTCTGTCTGCTTTGGGATTAATTTGCTCCTGTCTATCTTCCTAAAGTAGAAGCATAGATCATTGGTTTTATAGCTTTCTTCTTTTCTAAATATAGGCATTTAATATAAATTTCCCTCTAAGGACTGCTTTAGCTTCAGCTCACAAATTTTTATCTTGTGTTTTCAGTATTATTCTGTTCAAAATGGTGTTTAATTTCCCTTATGATTTCTCTTTGAGCTATAGGTTATTTGGAAACGTGTTGTTTAATTTCAAAATATTTAGAGATTTTTGTACATATTTGTTATCGATTTTTAATTTAATACTATTGCAATCAGAGAACATACTCTGTATAATTTTGTCCATCTAGTTATATACATCCAGCTTATGTATTCTATAATTTAAAAAACTGAAACAAAGACATATAATCTGCTAATGACTGCTTCAACAAAACTAGTGGAATAATTTTAACTTTACACCAGATGTTTATTGTAATACCTCGCTTCCTCAGTTTCCCTATGGTATATTTTCTGTTATTTTTATAAGAATGAGGAGTTATACAAGTTTAGTCTAAGCCAGAGCTTAAGACTTTAATAAAATTTTAAAAGCTAAGAAAAAAGATTAAGAAAACGTAGTTGGTTTCAAATTAATCATCCTGGTTACTGTTGGATGGAAAATACATTCTGAACACAACGGTAAAAGACACCACATATGGGAGCAATCACTATTAAGACATAAGTTTCCAAAGTCAAATGTTTTCCAGAAACACACATACACACATCATGCAACTCCTATTTCACCCATGCAGTTTCATCGTACAATGGTTTCTACTGAAGCATTTGTGAATGGCTGAGAGATTAGGTTACAAATACCATTACTTAATCTCATTTCATCAGGCAATCTTACCTTAAAGTACACTTCATTTCCATTTCAGAGTGTGTAGAGAAAACACGGAAAATATATTTGTCGACTAACAACGAAAAACTATCTCCAGGATTCAACTGGTGCCACAGATTTATCTCTAATGGTAAGAACTGGCTCTTCTCAGTAGACAGACAAAAACATGGATTTGTGTGTATCTAGCAAGTAAAAAATACAATGAGGTTATAACCCAAAATTACGACAAAAATATAACTAAGAAGAACTGATCCAAAATTTTAGTATTAAAACAATTTAAATATAAACTTAGACTTAAAAGTCTAACAAATCTGGCATGTATAAGTACCATAATTATTATCTATACATAAAAAAGGAAAAAAAGATACAATATGCCTCCCATTTCTCTAGGAATCAAAGAAAAAAGCAAAGTTATCAATTAACTGGTTAAAAGATACTTTCTTATTATGCTTAAGAGAGACAACCGGACATTGGAAAGAGAAACAGGAAAAATAACTCTAAGAAGAGAACTGAGTCCTCCAATTTTGATATCCAAAATTCACTAATCTCCTGGAAATGGCTAGCTTCTTTTCCACTTATTTTCCCCTAAAAATTTCTTACTGTGATTAAAAACTGAGAACCTCTGGGGAGGGAAATTTTCATCAAATCTCTCAAGCAAAGCTTTTTGTTTGTTGTTTGCTGTCACAGAGGGATCTTCTTATTTCGTGTGGATGAAACTCCCGTTATGAAGGTCTTCATCCATATTCAAATTGCAAGTAGTAAATATATCTCAACGTAGAAACTATTACAGTATCCACCACTTTGAATTACGTTTGCCACTGTTTTCCCCCATGTTAGCAAAGATAATGAGAGTTGCCTCCATACTAAGACTTATTGAAAGGCACCTTAAAAAGTCTAACTAGAACCCAGCTGAAATTGGCCATTTCTAAAAGTCAAATAGCCTTTTTATTATCACTATCATCGTGTTTTTAAAACAAATAAGCTTTAGAGTACAACAAAGTAATCTACGTAATGCAGATCTTTGGTTTTTGTTTTGTTTTGGGTTGGTTTTGGTTTTGGTGAGGAAGATTGGCCCTGGGCTAACATCTGTTGCCAATCTTCCTCTCTTTTTTTTGCTTGGGGAAGACTGTCACCTGCAGAGCTAACATCCACACCAATTGTTCTCTATTTTGTATGTGGGATGCTGCCACAGCATGGCTTGATGAGCGGAGTATGCAGGTCTGTGCCAGGGATCCAAACCTCTGAACCAGCGAATCCTGGGCCACCAAAGCAGAGCGCATGAACTTAACCACAACACCACCGAGCCAGCCCCTGGTTTTTTAACAGAATCTTATATAGAGCAACTCCCTATATACCTATATAGATATATATATATATACCTATATACCACCATCCATCTATCTACTTCATCAGTTTAAATGAGACCTTTCTGGAGACATCAACAACCTCTCCAGTACAGCAAGTTAATTACCACTCTGGGATTGGACATACACTGAAAATGCCCAGTTTTTCTATTTATACTTCATTAAAGTATCTTGAGATACAACTATATTTTCATACATCAAAACCTTTTCTGATCCCAACCATTTAAAATAACTGTTGGTGTTAAGATATGTTTTACTCACCTTGAGTTTTAACAGACTAGAATTCAGTATAAATTCAGTAGGTAAAAACTTCTGTTCTTACTGTAAAAAATATTCATTATGGAAAAATTAAGGAAGTTTACAAAAGGCCTATTTTTAATGTGGGTGTTTTGAAATTCTAGCAATGTGTCAGCTCTTTCCATTTTTTCTTTTTACCCCTCAACAATTTCTTTTCATTGGGAAACCTGATTAAAATTTTTATTAAATAATTACTTTCATTTTTTAAAATCTTAAGCTTTTATAGATATAAACTAAGTAAAATATAAACAAGTCTAGAATGTTTTATAGAACATGAAGCAAATCATGTTATTAATTTTGGTAGGCTACTTTAGACTATAATTCATTTTTCTTCTTTTTTAAAAAAAAAGCCTACTTGTGCAGAAAATGTATAGGGTATTTCAGGGCAATATATTCTGATTTACTTTCTATTATATATTAAAACACATCAAAATAGCCACAAACATCTGTTGAACATCTACAACATTCTCCCACTCCATCCAAATGTCAAGTCCCACATCATTTACCTCTGAAGTGTTCCCTGAATCCATTTCTCTTTACCATTTGCAGTCACTGCCCTAGTTGAGGCGCTTACCCACTGCTTGCACTTCCTGCTTGTGCTAACATCATATCAAGTCTCCCTGTTTTCATTCACCTCACTGCTTCCCAAGTCATTCTTTCACATTTCCCTGTGTACAGTCTCTGATGGTCCCCCAATATACACAAAGCACTGCAGTGAAGGCTCTTCATAAACCGACAGTGGTTTCCAACGCCATCTCCCACCTCCATACTCCAAAACCTTCACCCTATACACACAATCTTTGATCCAACCATGAATGTCTACTCAAAATGCTCTTTCATTTACTAGAACCTGAGATGCCTTATCCCACCCCACCCTTCTGCTTGACCTGTTTGAATCAGTCCCTACACAGCTCTAATAGTCTATGATTAAAATGACTACAGAAGTCTTTAATGGCAGGAAGAATCATAGATGTTTCAATTGTCAGTCTTTAGTGAATAATCTCAGGAATGGTTCCAAAGAGTTTACTACAAGAAGTGAGGCTTAAAATCTAATGTGTTTACTAAAAATGCTACCCACTGAGTCACTTAAATAAACTCATCCCTAAAATCATTTGAATTCCATTCTCTATGTGATATGAGGGTTGCATGATTTTTAAACATTTGAATATAATCTATACAACTAGGTAAACTAAATTTTTAAACATTACCCACTTTCATCTTCTAAGAAGCTTGTGGTAAAAGAAAAACAAAAGCAGCTGAGCACGAGCTTACTCGCTTTCATAATCCCAAGAAAAACACATAAGTAACTTTACCTGTCACTTCACATGACTTCATTTGATCAAATACCATACATGATAATTTTAAACTAACCACAGAACTATGGGATTTGGGGAAAGGATCCTAGAAACTATTTAGCTCAACCGGGAAAGAAAATAACTACATTTTAGAAGCTGAAGTTTCCCAACAGTACTTTTCGCCAAGGATGGGTGGGAGAGACTGATACAGAACAGGGAGCATTAAAACAAAAGCTGCCAGGAAAATAAGCATCGTTAATTAAGTGCCCAAATTTACAACAACAACAAAAAGACAACTTTGAAAGCTAGAATGAATAAAATCTACCTGGTCTGGCAATTTAGTTTCATGAGGATCTGGCCATAAGTCCTTCCTAGGTGTATCTGCAATTGAAAATATTGTATTTCCTTTAAATCTGTGTTAGGGCCAGGCCTGTGGCGCAGCAGTTAAGTTCGCACGTTCCGCTTCTCGGCAGCCTGGGTTCGCTGGTTCGGATCCCAGGTGCAGACATGGCACTGCTTGGCAAAAAGCCATGCTGTGGTAGGCGTCCCATGTATAAAGTGGAGGAAGATGGGCATGGATGTTAGCTCAGGGCCAGGCTTCCTCAGCAAAAAGAGGAGGACTGGCAGTAGTCAGCTCAGGGCTAATCTTCCTCAAAAAAGTATATATAAATAAAAAATAAATAAATCTGTGTTAAAAGAAAGCAGTAAAATAAAATTTGAAGATAAAAAGTAGAAGTAGAAATTAAAAACAGAGACTCAACAAATTTGGGTAGGCAATTATTGTATTGGTCAGAGTCATTTTACAAACTATATACAAGACTGCATAAGAACAGGAATGCAGTGCAACACCATGTTTATGCAACACCATACTCCTAAAAAGAGTTGTGAATATCTGATTTTTTAAAACAAGCTATAATTTGAATTAATGTTTAGAAAGCTTTCATTATGCTATCAGCCACCCCTAATTTATCTCTCAAAGTGGCTCTCTGGCTCATGGCTAGAGTTTTTGAGTGCAATAAGGCAGGACAAACTACCAGGTTCTGAGCTGACGCACAGTACCAGCCTTGGAAATCGTTTCCTGCTACCCCTCAGCCTTTTAAGTAAAGCGTCCCCTTCCTTGAATAAGCCATGATCACCACAGTCAGGAACACTGGGTAGCGGGAAGGACAAAAGTAAAGACAGGAATACACATGGCTTCTGCCTGAACCTTGAATATTCTTTAAATGAGGTTTGCTTCTTATAGGCTAAGATAAGACCATGTTCTTATTCATAACTATTTTAAAGACTCAGATGAATCTTAAACAACATTAAATAACAACACAGTCCTAAATTTACAAAGGCTAAGATGTTCAAATACGAAGGCACAAAATTCTAAAAGTTTCCACTTTTCTAAGGTAAAATTCTTAAAAAAGGAAACTAATTACATTTCTTTAAAAAGGCATTACAAACCCAAAGTCAAAGAAACATTCAGTTTGAGTAATTTTTTCCTCAGCTGAAAGCACTTATTTAAATTTTAGATGGTGAAATATTATGCATCTAGCAAAATCAGCCACAAAGTGGACCGATGTGTGTGATCCATGATCATCTTTTTCTTTGTCTAAAACTGCTCATACCAGGGATCCCAGGACTAAGAGCAGAAATGACATTCCAAGATATCTAATGTTTGATCCTTTAACTTAAAACCTAAATAAATGTTACTGATTGAAGAAGTTTTTAAAAAGTGATGTCAAACTATATACATTCCAACTAAAAAGCCACACATACATGAAGTCCAAAAGGTAGTTTTCTAAAAGCTATAAAGTAGACAAAAATCTAGAAATATTAATAAACAGAAAGGGAGAAGAAACACACACACCCAAAAATTTGGAATTAAAACAATGACATAAGTACACATAAAATAAAACTTTTGAAAAGTAGTAGAATACTTTATGCCAATATATTTGTCAATATGTCCAAAATTTACAATTATCTTAAAGAATATACACTAAACTGACTGAAAAAAAAAAGCATGTATATTTAGGTGTGAGTGTGTGGCTTGTTTAGAAAGGAGATTGAATGAGACACAATATTTTTTAAAATATCAATAATTAAAAATCTTTCTAATCTCTCCCCAAACCAGAACCAAATGGATTTAAAGATTTTTCTGAATATTCAAACTCTTCCCAAGACCAGAAAAAGATGGCAGACTCTCCAATTCCTTCAGTAAGGCTAATTTACCTTTTATTC